AGCAGGAATTTCTGTTTTGTCCCTTGCTGGGTACCCAGCACCTGACACATAATAGGTCATCAGAATTTGTCAGATTAATTAAATAAAGGGTATAGATTAGTGCTCTGCGCGTGAGAAGGGTTTCACATAACATGGCTCTTAATACCACTGTGGCTGGGCGTACTGCAGGCCCCCTGGGGCCATCCTTGTAGTGATCACATGTTGGGGAACCAAGAAGGAACATCTTTACTTGCCCCTCTATCTTTATTTTGCAGGAGACCAGCCACTGACTGGGGCCTACACTGTGACCCTGGATGGAAGAGGACCCTCAAGGGTCATCTCCAAACATGACCTAGGCCACTTCATGCTGCGCTGCCTCACCACCGACGAGTATGATGGGCACAGAACCTACCCTTCCCACCAGTATGACTAGGGCTCTGTCCATGTCCAGAGGACAGCATCCTGGAGAATGTGGAACCAAGGAAGGCAGCAATAAAGCTTGAGCCAAGAGCTTCAGATTATGCTAGAAGTTCCAACTCTGGCTTTGGGTATCTCAGTGTCTCTGTCTGCCTTGTGTGTAAGATTCTCTGGGTATTCCTTCATTTCCTCAGTTGCAGTTTACTGTTCTGCACCCGGCCCTGTGTGGGGACTGTGAGGACCCGGTGGTGACCGAGATAGCTGTGAGCTTTGCCTTCACATATCTCAGTCTGAAGTGACAGCCCACAGTGGCCAGGGCTCTGATGAGGGAAGCACGGTGAGCTGTGGGAACCCAGAGGGGATACGTGACCTAACTTGGGGGCTCTGTTGACGAGGGGAGGTCCTGCCTGAAACCGAGTTTGGTAAGAATGAGCCAGGAGAAGGTCCTAAGGCGTGACGGCTTCTGGGCAGAAGGAACCACATGAGCAAAGGGAAGGAGGCTGGTGAGCAGACGAGGAGCTACAGTTAATAATACTTTTCTCAGCGGTGAGGAGCGGTCAGCCCAACAGGCTGTTCCTTGGATGCTAAACTGTGCAGAGTCATTGTAAAAAGTTTAAGCTATATCCTGAGGTTTTATGCAAGGACTGGAACAGGGGAGAAGTAGGGAGGGGGAACAGTCAGGTTTGGGCTTTATAAGCTTCCCTTGGCTGCTGTGTGAAGGTGGGCGGGAGGGGGACAAGAGTGGAAGCTGGGAGCCCAGGGGGACCAGGCAGAAACCTTGAGGGGAAGAGTGGGCAGAGCCTGAGTGGACCGGCCATGAGGGAGGGAAAGGTGGCAACCTGGAGGACACAGGGCTGGACCTGGGGACCAGGTTACCATGGGGCCTCCCTGAGATGAGGATCCTGGAGGAAGGGCAGGTTTGGGGGGCGGGAGGGGGAAGAGCTGTCCCTTCTTAATCATGTCCCCATGGAGTCTACTGTCCCTGCCTTTGTTCCCCAGTGACACCTTTCCCAGGCCCGAGTGAGAGCTGCTCCTCTCTTCCTGCCTCCAGCCTCTTCCCAGCTCCCACGGAACACCTCACCCCCACCTCCATCACTCACAAAATCCACTCCAGTCTTACTCCGTGTCTGCAAACAGCAGGATGACTTGGTTGTCAAATTCCAACCAGAGAGAACTGGTCTGGGGTAGCCTGGAGGAAACTGCCTCCCCTCCTCTTGGTGAAAATGTGTGTTGGGGGGTAGGGGGTGGGGAGTGCACTACTTGTTCAAACTTT